CTGGCTCGGTGACGCGGCGCCGAACGGAGCGGGCGGAGCGGGCGGGCCGGGGCGGAGCGGAGTCCTCCGCAGAGCAGCCCCTTCCGGCCGCGGCCGCCGACCCCGGCCCCCGGCCCCCGGCCCCGCCTGGCTCTATGGACAGGAGCTCGCTGCTGCAGCTTATCCAGGAGCAGGTGCGTGGGGTGGGTGGGGGGCGCCGGCACCGCCCCCGCCGCAGCCCTCGGCCCGACGTTGGGTTGCGCCGAGGCGACGGAGCTCCCAGAGAGCCGCGGTCCAGCCCCCTCTTGGCGCCTAGCCTCTCAAGCCCCCTCCCCCACGACCTCGGCCCCCCCTGCGTGAGACCCCAGGAGAGGGCCAGCCAGACCAGGGAGCCTGGGGAGGTAAAGGAGGGAGGGAGATTGTGCTCAGACCTTGGTCCTATCCTTCCAGGAGGATGGGCAGGGCAGAAATGAGGCGGGGAGGCCCCTAAGAGCTGTAGGAGCTGAAGGCCTGGGACCCAGGCACTGGTGTCCTGGCGGCTCCGGGGACTATGTGGGTACAGAGGTCTGGTCTCAGGGTGCTTGGAGCCTGCCTCTCCCAGCTGGCCTGACCCACCCTCAAGCCTTGGCCGGCGCCCCCCCCACCCCCACCCCAGCAGCTGGACCCTGAGAACACAGGTTTCATCGGTGCGGACACCTTCACTGGCCTGGTGCACAGCCATGAGCTGCCTCTGGACCCAGCCAAGCTGGACATGCTGGTGGCCTTGGCCCAGAGCAACGAGCGGGGCCAGGTCTGCTACCAGGAGCTGGTGGACCTGGTCAGTGCCATAACGGGCAAACAGCAAGGGTACGGGCCCAGGCCTTGACAGGCACAATGCCCTGGCCAGAGTGGGGTGGGCGGGCAGCCCTCACTCCCTGCCCTTCCCACCAGGGAGGGGTGTGCACTTGGGGCAGGGCCTCAGACTCTGCCAGAAGCTGGGTGGGGCCAAGGGGGCAGGGTGGCTGGGGGTGGGTGGGCAGGGAGTACGGTGGCCCATGCTTAGGCACCACCAGCCCCCCCCCGCCAGATCAGCAGTAAACGCTCAAGCAGCTTTAAGCGGGCCATCGCCAACGGACAGAGGGCCCTGCCCCGGGACGGGCTGCCGGATGAGCCAGGCCTGGGTGTCTACAAGCGGTTTGTGCGCTACGTCGCCTACGAGATCCTGCCCCGGGAGGTGGACCGCCACTGGTACTTCTACCGGCACCGCAGCTGCCCACCCCCCGTGTTTATGGCCTCGGTCACCCTTGCCCAGGTGTGCCCACCTGTCCACCACTCTGGGAACCGCCCCCGTGCCTGGCCTCGCCTGGCCCTAACTCCTCTGTCTCCCAGATCATCGTGTTCCTGTGCTACGGGGCCCGTCTCAACAAATGGGTGCTGCAGACCTACCACCCTGAGTACATGAAGAGCCCCCTCGTGTACCATCCCGGCCACCGTGCTCGAGCCTGGCGCTTCCTCACCTACATGTTCATGCACGTTGGGTGAGTCCGGGCCCGCCCCTGGCATCTCTCCGAGGGCGTCAGGAGGACTCAGGCCCTCGAGGCCGGGGCTGGTGGCCTGACCGCTGCCTTCACATCTGTTTACGCCCACACGGCCAGCCTGGAGCAGCTGGGGTTCAACGCGCTCCTGCAGCTGATGATCGGGGTGCCCTTGGAGATGGTGCACGGTCTGCTCCGCATCAGCCTGCTCTACCTGGCCGGTGTGCTGGCAGGTGAGGCAGCCACGTGCCCCCTGGCCTTGTCACTGGTGAGCCTCACCCTCACTGCTCTCCCTTTGCTCACACAGGCTCCCTGACTGTCTCCATTACCGACATGCGGGCCCCTGCGGTGGGGGGCTCCGGTGGGGTCTACGCCTTGTGCTCGGCACACCTGGCCAACGTCGTCATGGTAATAGGGCGGACCGCGGGGCGGGCGTGGGGAGGGGCCCACGAGGCCTGTCTCACAGCCTCTGTCTCACGCTCCATCAGAACTGGGCCGGGATGAGGTGTCCCTACAAGCTGCTGAGGATGGTGCTGGCCTTGGTGTGCAGTAAGTAGGGGGTCAGGGGGCTGGGGGGCCTCAGCCTAAGGCCAGGGTGCCTCCCACCTGCTGCCTTTCTCCGCAGTGAGCTCCGAGGTGGGCCGGGCCGTGTGGCTCCGCTTTTCCCCACCACTGCCTGCCTCAGGCCCACAGCCCAGCTTCATGGCACACCTGGCAGGTGCAGTGGTCGGGGTCAGCATGGGTCTGACCATCCTGCGCAGCTATGAGGAGCGACTTCGGGACCAGTGCGGCTGGTGGGTGGTGCTGCTTGCCTACGGCACTTTCCTGCTCTTTGCCATCTTCTGGAACGTCTTCGCCTATGACCTGCTAGGCGCCCACATCCCCCCCCCACCCTGATGGGCTCCTCAGGGCCACACAGGCCAGGGTGCGGGCGTGTGTGGGCCGGCCACCGGGCGAGCCCGCGTGTCCGTCCTCTGTGAATGTACATCTCAAGACTGCTTGTCCTCCGTGGGGACTGGTGGGTCCTGTAGCCCATGGTGTCCAGGCCAAGCCTTACATCAGCCCTGGCCACCCCCTCCCAGGCCTGGGGAGGTAGGACTGCCTAGCCAGGCAGTGGAGGTCCCCAAGTGTGGCCCTGGAGGAGACCCTGCCCCAGCCTCCCCATCACGATTTGCGGTCTGAGCCTTTTTGGAAAACGAATAAATATTTTACACAGCACCAGGTGGCTGCACCAGGGCTCTGAGGGCGGGCCTGGCCTCCTTCCCACTCGCTGAGCAGACCGTAAGGGCCTTTCCCTCCACGTGGACAGCTTGGGCTCCTCCCTCACTCTTCTGCACTCCTATGCTGGGGGGGGGGGCAGGTGGGAGTGGGGAGTGGGGTGGTCCTCACAGTCAGATGAGAGTTCAGCAAGCGTTTATTGAGTTCCTGCAGCAGCCAGCCTCCTCCTTGGCCAGCTCACACCCAGAGAAACCTGTGGCCTGAGGTTACCGGGCAGGTGCAGGCCCTGGGCCACACCCAAGTTCACTCAGCCTGAATCCTGCACTTCTTGGCTGGCACGGTGTCATCAGGTGGCCAGGCTGGGGCCAAGGTCTGGGCACAGCTTCTGCCCCACAGCCCACGTCCGTAGTGCTGTCTGCACACGGTGAGGGGTCCACAGCCCTCAGGTACTATCTAGGGAGGGGCAGAGGCAGTTTGGGGCCCCGGGATGCTGGCCAGTCTATGCTGTACAGCCCTGCATTCGCCAGCCTGACCAGGGCCTTGGATGGGATGCCCTCCCTGCCTTCCGACGGGCCCCTCCCTCTGCTGAGGGCTGCGGCCGTGGTTCTGCACCCGGCTCAGGTGCAACACTTAGGGCTTGTGGGCGTACTGCAGCGCTGGCTGGTCCGCCACTGCGGCCACTGCGGCCTTCGGACGTGAAGGCTGCCGCCTCTGGAGCTCCCGCAGCCAGGACGGTTATGGGCAGTGAAGGGGCAGCCCTCATGCCCCGCCAGCGTCTGGACGACCTCGGCGTAGGGCTGCCGTTCCTAGGGATCCCCAAGTGTCATGGACGTGGCCCTGGGCTCACTTTACAGACAGGGTCACTAACACGCCCGGTCTCGCGACCCCGCCGGGGCGCCCAGCTCTCCCGACTAACCCGAGGCAGTCGCGAGGCCCACAATTCCGTGACGGCTGCCCGCACGTCGGCCTGGAGGCGGAGGGCGCCGGCCGAGCGCTGCACCACCAGCTCGGGCAGCGGCCCCTCCGCGGCCAGATCGGGGCAGATCGGGTTGGGGGTCACGGGTGGTGGACCTCACCCGGGGGGCCCGCCCCGACGCCGCGAGGCCCCGCCCCACACGTGGGAAGCCCTCACCACCCGCTTGCACGCCGGCAGCCGCTCCAGTTCGTCCCGTGTCACGTGCTTCTCCGCTCGGCCCTCGGTGGCCGCGGACACTCCTCTCGACACCTGGGGAAGGGCGGTGACGGAGACTCGGGCATCGGGGGCGGTCCGCCCTACCATCGGCCCAGGGCACCACGCCGTGGAGCGCCGGGACCACGGCCCGGCGGCTGGAGGCCTCAGGCCCCACTGCCCGCGGACGGCCGCCATGTTCGCGCGCGGGGCGGGGCCTCGGCGGGGCGGGGCTGACATCAGCCCCGGTTACTCTTGACGCTTCTGTAGCCTTCCCAAGTCGCCCGTCGCTTTGCCTCGAGCGCATGCTCCAGCCGGCCCCACCCCCGCAGCCCGTCGGACGCACACGCGTCCCCGCCCACCGCGGCCGGAAGTTCCGGTGGCGGATCGCTGGACCGGGCCCGAGCGGATCGCGGGCTCGGGCTGCGGGCTCGGGCTGCGGGCGCTGGGTGGGCCAGACGCGGAGCCTGGGAGCTGAGCCCAGGCTGTGCCGCGCGGCGCCATGAAGGGCAAGGAGGAGAAGGAAGGCGGCGCGCGGCTGGGCGCCGGCGGCGGAAGCCCCGAAAAAAGCCCGAGCGCGCAAGAGCTCAAGGAGCAGGGCAACCGGCTCTTCGTGGGCCGCAAGTACCCGGAGGCGGCGGCCTGCTACGGCCGCGCCATCGTGAGTGCACCCGCGCCGGGGAGGGGATCTGCGACCGGGCCACGGGAGGGGGCGGGGCCCCGACTTCGGGCCCCGGGCCTTCGAAGGGTCCTGGCTCGTACGTGCGGACGTTTGGGCCCTGAGAGTTTAGCGATGCTCTTATTCCAAAGGTGTCAAGGCCGCTGCTCTCCAGCCCAGTGCTGCTTGCTGGGGAAGTATGGCGAGTGGGGGCTTCAGGGTGCTTGAGGTTCCCGGGCAGCGGACGAGGGATCCCTGTTCCTTGAGGACTCCAGGCCCAAAGCTGGGGATCTCCACAGGGCTCGGAAATTTATCTCGGCAACATTTCGTGGGAGGCAAGAAGGTGGGCTCAGGCAGGCCTTGGGACCGGGAGCGCACCCTCCACTAATCTTTAGCATGCAGGAGCTTTGAAACTGAGAAATTTCTGGTGTCTTGATTCTCACCGTGGGCTCCAAACTGGGATAGGGTTTAGGGCAGAGGGGGGCGCGCAGAGCTCACTTCCTCATGCTGGCTGGCCCGGCCTTGGTCCCCAGACCCGGAATCCTCTGGTGGCAGTGTACTACACCAATCGGGCATTGTGCTACCTGAAGATGCAGCAGCACGAGCAGGCCCTGGCAGACTGTCGGCGGGCCCTGGAGCTGGACGGGCAGTCTGTGAAGGCACACTTCTTCCTGGGACAATGCCAGCTAGAGATGGAGAGCTACGATGAGGCCATTGCCAACCTGCAGCGAGGTGGGCCTGCTGGTTATTGGGTTGCAGGGGTGCCTGGGACCAGGTGGATAGTCTGGCCAGGTGACCTGAAGCCCCTCTCCCCCCAGCCTACAACCTCGCCAAGGAGCAGCGGCTCAACTTTGGGGATGACATCCCTAGTGCTCTGCGCATCGCCAAGAAGAAGCGCTGGAACAGCATCGAGGAGCGGCGCATCCACCAGGAGAACGAGCTGCACTCCTACCTCACCCGGCTCATTGTGGCCGAGCGGGAGAGGTGAGCTGTGCAAGCGGCAGGCTCCGCGTGCCCCCCACCCCCCTCAAGTCAGCACTCTCGGGCCGATTCGGAGCCAAGAACACGAGTGTTTATTGAAGGCCAACACGGGCGAGCGGGAGATGGAGGAAAATGAAACCCGAACGAGGGGTGGGTGCAGCGTGGCCTCTCCTGGCCGGACCCATTTCTGACCGGCTCCTGGCTGACCCCCAGGGAGCTGGAAGAATGCCAGAGGAACCACGAGGGTGATGAGGACGACAGCCACATCCGGGCCCAGCAGGCCTGCATCGAGGCCAAGCACGTGAGGGTGCCCCAGCCCGTGTGTGGGTGTGCGCCAGACCGCGCGCCTGTGGTGGGCGGGGGCCTGTGCCTGGGGAGGGGGGATGGGGCGTCTGGCCCATGCGTAGCTGCTTGCTTCTTGACAGGACAAGTACTTAGCAGACATGGATGAGCTTTTCTCCCAGGTGGACGAGAAAAGAAAGGTAAGCCCGGGTAGGTCCTCTGGCGCCGGGGAGCAGGCATCGGAGTGGCGTCCCCTTCCTGGTGCCTGACTGGACCGTCTGTGCTGTAGAAGCGAGACATCCCCGACTACCTGTGTGGCAAGATCAGCTTTGAGCTCATGCGGGAGCCGTGCATCACACCCAGTGGCATCACCTACGACCGCAAGGACATCGAGGAGCACCTGCAGGTGAGGGCCCACATGTGTTGGGAGCAGGACCCATAAGCACTGAGCGCTTTCTGACCCTGTTGTCACTGCACACTGCAGCGCGTGGGTCACTTTGACCCTGTCACCCGGAGCCCCCTGACCCAGGAACAGCTCATCCCGAACCTGGCCATGAAAGAGGTCATTGATGCGTTCATCTCTGAGAACGGCTGGGTGGAGGACTACTGAGGCCGGGCGAGTGCAAGGGCAGCCCGTCTTGCCTAGTATCCTGGCCCAGGAGGGCCTTGGGGCAGTAGCTCCCAGTCCCTGTACATAGTTTGTGTCCCTAGATCCCTGCCCCAGTGTCCCCACCCCCACCCTCATCAGTTTCGCTGCTGGACCATGAACCCCACCTCCACCTGTCTGGGCCAGAGACAGCAGGTGAGGGTGGGCTGCCGCCACCACTGTCCTGTAATAAAATCTGTGAGCACTAATGGGGGCGTGTGCTGGTGTGTGCTGGGCTCACCAGCCGCCCACTCTGGCTAGCTGAGGAAGGTGGAGATGAAAACGCTGGTGTCCAGGTTTAGTGTGGCGTGCCACCATCGGTCAGGGAAATACAGCACCTGGTGGGGGACGGAGGCGGGGCACAGAAATTAGTTAGTGGCAGCTGGTCCAGCCTGGAGGCCCCTTCCTGTCGTCACCTACTGACCTCGCCAGCCTGGACGGTGCACTCCAGGGGTCTCTCAGATGGTGCCAGGGCTGGGTACACGTCCTGAAGCCAGGCCAGTGTGGTCTTGTTGGGGTGGAACTCCGGTGTCTTCTCCGGGGGATACAGGAACCAGCGCTGGGGGCGGGAGCAGCAAGGTCACTCTGTGTTGCAGTCAGCGAGCCCCAAGCCTCAGCCCCCATCCTGTGCTGACCTTGCGGCCGTAGACCACCTCTGAGAAGCCGGGCCCGTGCCAGTGGAAAGGCACCCCAGAACCAGCTCCTGTGGAGTTACCGGCAGTCGCTAACCAAACCCAGCCTGTAGTCTCCCCACCCCCTCCCTCTCTCCCATGCCCTCTGCTCCTGCAGGGCACCCACCTGCAACTCCAAAGCTGTAAGCAGCTGTGGTACCCAACAGGCTGAATGGGGGTGGGGAATAGTGCTGGAAAAGTGATGCCCATTCGCTGAAATTATTGTCCCCAAAGAAATACAAAGTGTCTGCCGGCAAAGAACACAGGACACGCAGGAACTTTGGCACCCGAGTACTTCCGATGCCCCCATCCCCTCCCACCCCACCCCAGGGCCGACCAAAGCCCACTCACCGTTGCCCAAGGAGGTAGGATCCTGGGGGTGTAACAGGTGCTCCACATACTCCTGGAAGGGCAGGTCCACTGCGGGAAAGGGGCTGGTCAGGACTCGCTGGGGCCGCCTACAAGATGCTGGCAGGCAGGGTGGGGCAGCTCACCTTTCCGGTAGGAGTAGGTGTTGGCAGTGCTCAGCCGTACCACGCTGTCCCCAAAGGAGGCCAGTAGCTTTTCTCGGGAGCACAGGGCCCGGAACCTCTAAGGGGGTGGGGAGAAGACTCAAGGGCTGGGCCCAGCAAGGGCGGAAAGTGGCCAGGAGGGGCGCCAGCACTCACCGAGTTGTCTGTGAGCCTCTGGAGGATGACGGGTCTGGAGAAGGCGTAGCTAGAAGGGGCAAGAGTCACGGCCAAGTCTGACCCGCGCCTGCCCGCTCCAGCCCCCACGGGTTAGTTCAAATAGATCCTGGGAGGTCAGGGAGGACGGGCGCGCCAGAAAGGGCGCGATATCGGCGCTCCGGGGTGGGTAGGGGGGACGTACTGCTGCACGAACTCGGAGTAGCTAAGGTCGGCCCGACGCTCCACGGCACAGCGCTCCTCCTCCGCCACCGCCGCCGCCGCCCCAGGCCCGGGTCGCTGCCTGCGGGCACAGCTGGTCAGCACCCCCGCCCCACCGCGCGCCCCGGGCCCCACCGCGCGCCCCGGACCCCGCCGCTCACCACCCTCCGTCGCTCGCGTCCGCGGCCATCGGCCGGGCCGGGCCCGCCAGCATCCAGAGCGCGAGCAGTAACTGCAGCCGCGCCCCCGACGCCATTAGCCCGCCGCCGCGAGGCATGGCGGGAACTCCGTCGTCGCAGCAACGGCCCGGAAGCACCTTCCTTTACCCGCCCCGGAAGGAAGGGTGTTTTCGAAGGGGGAAGGCCCCCCGACCCGGGCTGGGGCCCCCCCCCCCCCCCCCTTCCCGTCCCGCCAGTTCCCCTGGCGACGAGGCCACCTACCCACCCCGGTCGCCCAGCGCGTTAAAACCAACCGGGACGTCGTCGGGCGGCACGATGGGATGACAGGCAGCCTTAGACTGCGGCTCCCGCGTCCTTTATTTGGTTCGCACGCCCAGCCCCACCCACCCCAGGCCCGGCGCAGATGGGTCACGAGTACTCGCACAAGTGGCCGCAGCCCGCAGGGCAGTGGGAGCTGCCCTCCAGCCACTTCATGATGTGCTGCAGGTGGCCGCCGTGACTGCAGCCCTGGCACCACACGAACAGACCCTTGACCACGTGGTGGCAGACAGCACACATGCTGGCGCAGCGGTGGCACCGGTCACAGACCCAGCCACGGCTGCTCATGGGCCGCTTGCAGTGGCTGCAGTTGACGTGCAGGGTGGTGGAGGCCTGGTTGAGGCAGCTGACGGCGCGGCTGGTGCTGAGCTTGACCACCTGGTTGGACACGTTCCAGAGGCAGAAGCGCTGCAGCAGGTCGATGTAGGACGTGTACCAGTGCTCCTGGCGGTGCGGAGAGGGGAGGGAGGCAAGAGGCCGGGAGGTGGGCGCGCTGTGGGCTTCACCCTGAGCGCGCCGGGTGCAGGTGAAGGCAGACGTGCGGGGGGTCAGGTCTGGGGGTGGCAGGGAGGCCCTCCCGGAGACCCGGTCACCCACCTGGGTCTGCTCATCGATGTCCTTGCGCACGCGTTCACCCAGCACAATGAGCACGGACACGGCCATCTGCACATCGCCCTGCTCGGCGTAGAAGCGCAGCATGTCACACACCAGGGCGCTGAAGAAGTCAGGCGGCAGGCGGCTGTCGTAGAGGGCGTGTGATACCGAGATGAGCGAGAAGGAGGAGTCCATGGGAGCTGAGGAAGCCGCATCAGCCTCGCTGCCGCTCACGTGGGGCGAGTCGGCCTTGTCCTGCAGGTGCTCGGGGCCAGGTGGAGTGTCCACGATCTCGTGGCGTAGCGGGAAGGCCTCCTGGGGCAGCACATATTCGGGCTCCTCCGCTGCAAGGCAGGGGCAGGGAAGGCAGGGTCTGAGCCTCCGGCCCTGCCTCCCAACCCCTCTCTCCCGGCCCCCACTCACGGTGTGCGTGTTCCGGGTCCAGCAGGTACAGCTCGTCCTCCTCGCCCTCCACGTCGCCCAGCAGGTAGTCTGCAGGCACATCGCTGCCCTCTGTCTCTTCGTTATCTGCCCACAAGGGAGGGTGGGCGTTCCAGAGGCAGCTGGTTCTGGGATGCCCTGGCCCCACTCCCATCAACCCCCTGCCCGCCCCTCAGCCTACCCTCATTGGTGATGAGTGTGGCTGAGGAGTCAAGCAGCACCGTGTCGCTCCGTGTGTCACCCTTGCTACGGTCCAGCCTGGTCTCACTGCCCAACCCCGGGGCCATATCCTTCAGATTGAAACTGGGGACAGGGAGGGCTGATGGGTAGATGGGTTCCAACGGTCCCACCCTCTGTGGAGAGCCACCCCCAGGCGTCTACCTGTTCATAAGTGGCAAGCCGCAAGAGCTGCCCTTGCCCACGCTGTGGTTGAGGCTGGTGGCAGGCGCCAGGCCAGGGCTACAGTAGATGATCCGTAGCATGGTCCAGGTCTGTGCCACCTAGGAGCAGCCACCAGGCACTTACAAGGAGCCTGGGTCCCTGGTACCCCATGCAGCACCCACCCCCCCATGCCCAGATGGAATCACAACCTCTCAGTGTTCAGCTGCCCCAGGGACCTAGCATCCTGGCCCACCCCAAGCGGGGGAGACTGACGCCTATGCCAAACGCAAAAATTCTAGCCTCCTTCCAACAGGGGAATAGACAAAAGCAGAAATTGAAGGCAGCCAACACGGAAATGAGCCTGCTGACCCAGGGAGACGAGAGTGGCTGCATGCACCTCTGCAGAGCGGGGACAGCTTGGGAAATCCAAAAGCAAAAACGAGCCACAAGAGGGCACTTGAACCCCATAACACCCGAGACCTGCACCCAGAGGACGGCACTGGCCTCGGGCTCACGGCAGGGCACTGGGCACCCTGTTACCAGGGTGATGGCTGGTGGTGGGAGCAGCCACAGCTGAGTGCTAAATCCCTGAAAGGGTTTGGATGTAACAGTCGGAGGAACCCCCCAAGGTCATGGCCCCTGGGAGCCTCTGGGGCCACCCCCACCTACCTGGTTGCGGCCAAGCTCCCGAGCCACTTTGGCATTGTGGTCACAGAGCTCAGCCAGAGGCCGACCAGCAAGGGCATAACGCTCGGCCGTGTCCACAAACCAGCTCATGCTGCCACTGCCAGGCTCTATCTCGAAGACGCTCAGAGCACTGGAGGCGAGGCCCACAAAAGGCTCGGCAGGATCCAGCTTGCGCTTGAAGAAGATGGGGTGGCGCCGATCACCAGCGTAGGGCTTGCGCCCAGACTCAGCGGCCACTAGGCTCTCCTTGGCAGCAAAGGCCAGGTCCCCAAAGAGGCCATAGCAGAGGCCTTCGGGGTTGGCACGCTCAACAGGCTGGCTGGCATCACGGAACAGGTGTTGGCACAGCGTGCTGTCCTTAGAGCCGGAGAGCAGGAAAGAGGGGTCGTGTGGGTGGCGCCAGGCGATACCCGTTGTGACATCGCGGTGCTCCTCAAACATGGCAGCCGGGACGAAAGGCCGGCGCACGTCCCACACGTAGATGTTATGGTCCACCATCATGGAGCAGGTGGCCAGGTGGTGGCGGCACTCGGGTCGCCACTTGACTCGAGCCACCGAGGCGATGGTTTGCACGCAGTGCACCTCCTTGGCACGGTGCGTGGTCATGTCCCAGACCTTCACCATCTTGTCACGCCCACCTGTGGCCAGCCAGCCCCTGCAATAGGTCCGTGAAACCCTTAGCATCCTCTCCTGGGGTAGGAGGGCTCCCCGCTCTCTGCCTCACAGGTTCTGAGGCAGCCCTTCCGTGAGCCCATCCATCCCACCCTACTGCCACCGCCCTCCCCTCCACACTCCTCCCCACACCTGTCCTCAGGGTGCCAGTCGCAGCAGAAGACAGGTCCATTGTGGGCTGTGAACATCCTCTCACAGCGGTCAGGCCGCCGAATGTCCCAGAGCTGCACGTTGCCGTTCTCAAAGGTGGAGGCGAAGGTGAAATAGTCTCGGATGCTGAACTGGACGTCCCGCACACTCTCAGACTGGCCTGTGGACATCCATGGAGGGAGAAGGTGAGAGAGCCAGCCCACAGGAGGCTCCAGGAGAGAAGGCAGCCAGGTGTGGCGGCCTTGGAGTGACTGGACTGCAGTCACATGGCTGCCCATGACCAAGGCCGGGAAGCCTAGGAGGCGGAGTAAACACCCCTAAGCCTGCCTAGGGTGGGCGGTGGTGGTGGGCAGAGGCTTCACAGAGGAGCTCGGGTAGATCAGGTCAGGGAGCAGGATGCCAGGCATCATGTGGTTTCCGAAGCAGAAACACGACCTCGACTTTCCCTGGATCCTGCATCTGACGTGAGCCCTTGCACAAAGCTGCGGCCTGCCTTCCGGACCGGCCATCGGAGCACTGAGCGTTGTTGGGCTCTCTGCACTCCCCCGAGGGTGCCCCAGCTTCGGCCCCATCCCTTCGCCTTGAGGTGGAGTGCCGGGTCAGCTCCGGGGACCGGAGACCTTAACGGTCCACATCCACCTCCCTGCACCAGCACACCAAGAGCCTTCAAAGACTCCAGCTTTTTCACAGCGCAGGTAGTTCAGGTGTTTTAGGAGGCCCTCCAGTTCTCTGAGGCGACCGAGGGCTCCGCCCTGTGCCGCACTTGGTCTCATCAGGGTGAACAGGCCAGCTGGCCTTGAGCTAGTGGCAGAGGAGCTGGGCCTGCTGGGAAAAGAACTTGGGGGGCAGGGGCAGGCAGCATACTCCGCCTCCTCTCATCCCTGAGCTGAGGACCGTGGAGGTTCCCCGTGGCTTCCTTCAGTGAAGCGGCCCGGGGCTCTGAGGCAGGAAAAGAGGAGGCAGCAAACCAAAGCGTCCGCTCAGCGGCCCAGGTTGGCCGCAGTCTGCTCAGGCTCTCCCTCATCCCACGCCCCCTGCTCCCATGCTGACCCTCAGCCACTCTGGTAGTGCTCTCGGGGAGCACACCTGAAGACTCTGGATGCACGTGGTGCCCTTCTCCACCTGCCCGACCACCTCCAGGGCCTCACCAGAGAAGGTGCTGACAGAGTCCTTCCTGCGGAGGTCGAAGCACTTCATGAAGCCGTCCTGGGAGCCGCTGAGCAGCACGTGGGCTTCGGTGGGGTGGAAGCAGACTTTGTTCACCGTGCGCTTGTGCTCTGTGAACAGCTGGTCCTGCTTGTTGCGCGACGGCCGTCCCAGGTTCCACGTGACCACCACGCCGTTGGTGGCCGCCGTGGCCAGCAGGTTCTCATCCATCTGGTGCCAGACCACGTCGGCGCAGCTCAGGTTGAGCGAGGGCTTGCGGCCCACACGCAGGTTCAACTTCTCCACAAACTGCTCGTCCTCAATGGCGTAGATCTTGAAGATGCTGCGGCCCGCCACGACCACCTGGGCGGCGTCACGGCACACACTGATGGCATTGGCCGGCGCGTCCAGGTGGCAGTGCATGGTGCGGCCCGTCAGCGCGCTGCCACCCAGGGCCGTGGTCACTCGGGACATCTTCTCCATGGCTGCCCGGGGTGGGACACGAGGCCCGTCAAGTGGGCTGGCCTGGTCAGCCAGGAGGGGCCTGTCAGTCCAGACCCGCCACCCTGGTTGGGTTCCCCCAAACTGCTTAGTCCTGGGCCGGTCAGTCTTGGGGAGCCAATCCAGGACCGTTCACCGCCCCTCAGGAGACACGTCTGACTTGTGGGGAGACCCTACCCGGTCAGTGCCAGCCCTGGTCCCCGCTCCATCCCCCAACAGTCAGACCCGGGTGATTACTGGACCTTCGGTCAGTCAGTCCCTGCAAGGATGCGAAGTAGTCCCCACAGTCCGTCTCTGGGCCTCCAGGGAAGAGGCGGAAGGGCCAGAGGGGCGCCGCGGCCAACGACGGGACTTCAAGAGCCAAGCCGTGTAAAGAGCCTGAGGGGTCTGGCCGGACGGAAGGCAGGAGACCCCGGCAGCGCGGAGCACTGAGAGTGGCGCGCGCGGGGCCGGGGAGGCCTCGGGAACACGGCTGGAGGGATCGGAGAAGCCTCTCCCTCCGCCGGCACCGGAGCCATCGCCTAAAACTGCCGGGCGGGCCTGGCCGGAACCGCCGGACCGGAAGCAGCCCTTCTCTTTCCCGCCCACCTGCTCGCCGGAAGTGGTCCGTGCTTGTCGGCCCCTCGGCGGAACCGGGCACCTCACTGCAAGCGTTCCGGATGAGGGAGCCGAGTTGGTGCAGCCGGAAGGATGGTCCCGAACTGTGGGAGAGGCGCTGCCGGGCGTTCCCGCGGTTCCGCCTCAGCGGTTGGTCTTTTGATGCTGGTGCTCACTCTCCGCCAGCAAGTCCAGCCATCCCTAAACGAGTCCCGAATCCCTGCAGTCGTCTCCACCTCCTTCCTCACTCTCCTCCCCTGGACCCACCTCGTTCCCCCCCCCCCCATCTGAGCCCCTCACAGCTGCCAGGTACCACTCTTTGGTCTAAGTCCACAGGGCTCCCCACCGCTCTAGGAATAACCCCCAGACTCCCGGCCTCCGTCTCTCCTGGCGCACTTCCAGCAACGGCCGCTTACACCGCTTCTTCCAGCCCGCCGAGCTCTTTCCTGTCCGGGCCACGCGATTGCTCTGCACTCTCCGCTCTGCAGAAAGCGTCTTCTCCACGCTCCAGGGTTCGGCTTAAGTATCTCGTTGTCAAAGGCCTTCCCCGGCCCCCACATCTAACATGTGGCCTCTCCAGTCACTGTCACCTCCACAGTGCTTGTCAAAACGCATTCCTTCGTTTACTGGTCATTGCGTGTGGCACACGGGTGTATATCAGGCAGGGATCATGCCTGTCTTGGTCTCCACAAACTCCGGTGCCTGACAGATCCTGCTGGTTCACACCACCCCCGGGCAATCGAATGACCCTCTCTGAGCCGTCCTTCCTTTCCTGGTTTTGAGTCCTGTTCGGTCCTTGCTGTACTGTATGATTATAGGACATCCCTGCCCCCCTCTTAACCTCAGTTACCCAATGCACGAAACAGGGCTCATTTTTGCCCTTCTGGAAGGATGGACTAGATTCTAGATATTTTGAGGTTACTCTTATATGTAATGACTTTGGTATCATTCTCTCCTCCCCAAAGCAATGAAAGCTTAGGGACCGAATGTACTGGTCGCTGCTGTGTTCCCAGTCTGCACAGTGGCACCAACCTCTGCGTGTTGAGAGAACCAGAAAGTGTGATGAGTTGAGCGGTGCACAAGAGTCCAGAGACTTGGGCCACCCTGGGCAGATACACCTTCCCCTGCCATGGTCGGATGACCTAAAAACAACTCAGACACGTGTTTTTACAACTTTTTTAATATATATTTTTATAAACAGGTCACGTGATAAAATAGCACAAGAAACACTTACCAAATATAAGGTTATATCTTCCGCATATACAGGAGAATGAGGTCGTTATGTACAATAAGAAAATGATTTTAGGGGTTGGTTGGTTTTGTTTTGTTTTCCTCTCTCCCCTTAATTTTTCCTCCTACAGTCGTTGGAAATATCACAGCTTCAGTTGCATTAATACTTTGGACAAATGGACAGCTGCCTCCTCCCCACTAGGGAGCCGTGGGGAGGAGGGGCTGAAGAAACTGGCTCCTGACCACCTCAGCCCCGGAGCTTCCTGTGGGCACTCCAGGACAGGGAAATCTTTGGGCTGTTGAACTGTTTCTCTGCTTCAACAGCATCTCTCGCTCTCTCGCTCGCTCTCGCTCTCTCGCTCGCTCGCTCTCTCTCGCTCACTCTCTGGCTCTCTGGAAACTGGTTACTTTCTTCCAACCAGACAGGGGGTGTCCCAAGATTGGGTGTGGGCACTGTATTTCCTGGGGCTCAAGGTTGGGATGGAAAGGGGTCCCAGCCCCCTCCTCAGCAGTTGCCAAGATGTGCCAGCATCCCCAGGACTTCCGTATGTCTTGGGATTGGACAGAACATGGCGAGAGCCCATTTGGGCAGGCAGAGGTTTGGGAAGCTGGGGAGGGGGTGGGGGCAGCTAGAAAGGAGCCCTCCCTCCTCTGGATGCTGAGGGTGTGCTGGCCACTGTAAGATTGGAGTTGCTGGCTGGCGCTGATCCTGAGCCTTGGCTGGGGCCCGCTTTTCCAGCTTCCACCTGACAGAGACCTGCCCAGGATAAAGTGTGGCGCTGAGGAGGCTGGGCCTAGCTGGCTACAGGGACTGGTGTGGGGTCCACCCAGGGCTGTTTGCAAGGCCTGCAGGGCCTGAGGGTTGCTCCAGCTTGTGGTTTCTCAAGGTGGTGGTGTCCTGCCCGGGTTGAGGTAAGCTGCAGCCGGCTCGGTTAATGTTGATTACACCAATATCGTTGTCAGCCAGGGCTGTCCCTCCCTCAACCCAATTCCACCCCATTCTGGCCCACGGACCCATAGACCTGCCAGTGGGGGATGGGGCGAGCAGGGGACTGCCTCCTACAGTGGCCAGGGAAAGGGGAGGTCTCATGGGGTCAGGCTGGCATGAGGTGGGGCACGGGCGGGAGGGCCTTGGGCTCCTTGGCGGGCCATGGCTTTGGCGGTGGCCTGTTTCCCCTCGCACCCCTCCGAGGGCCTCAGGCGCGGTGCAGTGGAAGATGCGGGAAGCCCTTGGGGCTCTTCTGGCCCCTGTGTCCTGGGGGACTCAGCTCCCCTCAGTCCCTCCGGGCCCTGCCCGAGATGGGGGGACAGCGGGGAGACAGAGCGGGGTGTGGCGGGGAAGGTGGTAAGGGCGGCGGTCAGGAGAGCTCAAAGCGCCCCCTAGGACCGAGCCCCGGCCCCACCCCCCCACCCCCAGCGGGTGGACGAATGATGGAGGCGGCTGTGGTGCGGTGGAGGGCGGGCGTGCAGTGCGGGCACGAGGGGCATGCACAGAGTCCCCGAGTGTGCGTGCGTGCGTGGGGCTGGGCCCGCCCGCCGCCCCTCCCCGCCCGGGCGGGGCCAGGAGGGGCGCGGGGGGCCGGGCGGTCACCAGGTTCGCCCTGCCTCCCGCGCTGGGCCGCAGGCGCGAGGGCTCCCCTGAGGGCAGGGCCGGGAGAAGGCGTCCCGCCCCGGAGCGTGGCGGCTTCCTGCGCCGGGGGCGGGGAGGCCCGCGCTACTCGATGACGAGACAGCGGGGCAGGTGCTGCGAGAAGTACTTGAAGAGCTCGGGGGTGGCCCCGGGGCAGTTGGTCAGCTCCAGTTCCTCCAGCTCCTGCAGCTGCACCAGGCCCGACAGCCCCGTGGTGGTCAGCAGCGGGCAGCCTGCAGCGGGCGGGAGGCGAGGCGGCGGCTGAGTGCGGGGGCCGGCGGAGCTCGCCCGGCGTCTCCCTCCGGACCGGGCCCTGGGACCCGGGGAGTCAGCCCCAGGTATGAATCGGCGCGAGGGACCCGGCAGGGCCAGGTGGGGGCGGGTGGGGTCTCACCTGCCAGAGACAAGAGCCGCAAACTCCTCATGGCCAGGAGGTGCTTCAGCCCGAAGTCCTGCACCTGGGCGGGAGGGGAGGGCAGGGCGGGTTAACGACCTCTGCTCGCGCCCCTGGCGGGGAGGCGGGGGGGCGGGCGGCGCAGGGGGCACTTCTAGGGTCAGGCCTTGGGCCTGGAGCTGTTGGAGGCGCAGGGGGGCAGGGATCAAAAAGGGGGTTTCTCGGCCTCCCAAGGAGCCAGGAGGCAGCAGGGGAGTGGCGCTGAGGGCCCCAGGGAGTCCGGGCGCTCGGCCTATGTCGCGCGCTAGACGTGGAGGGACCCAAACTTCCTCTGACCCTTCCGGGATCAGGGCAGCCGGCTGAGCGGCCAGGAAGGGCCGAGTCCCCCACCTCTGCTCCCCAGTCTTCGGAGGCGAGGAGGGCGGGTACCTGGCAGCACCATCGCAGGTAGAGGCTGCGGAGGGACGACATGGTGGACAAGTAGCTGAGGCCAGTATCCGTGATGCGTACACACCTGTGGGTGCAACAGAGGGGCGCTGCCCACCTTGAAACACCCCGCCCCTCAGCTCCGCCCCTTCCTGCTTTTCCCCGCGTGTCCAGGCCTGAAGCTCCCCTCCGCCGGCACAGATGAGAGCGCTTCCCTTTCCACAGACTCTCCCCAGCCAGGTCCCCCCCAACCCCCACCCTGGTTGCTTGGTGGCACCACCCGTTCCGGGGTGGGGGGGCGGTTCAGCCCCATCCTTGTTACAGGGCCACTCTGGATCCCGGGTTTGTGAGCGCCCGTCCTCAACCCACTCCCCATCACGCGGCAGCGCCACTCCGCTACAGTCGCCCCACTGGTCTAGGCTCCCCGCTCAGAAGGCCCCGCCCCGCCCCCCCGCCCCCCCCCCCCCGCCCCCACTGCCCGGGCGTGGGGGTCGCGCGCACCTGTCCAGCACCAGCTCCTCCAGGCGGTGCAGGTCGCAGGCCACGTACTCGAGCGCCATGTCGGTGATGCGCGGGCACCACGAAAGGTCAAGGCTGCGCAGCTTGCGCAGGTTTTCGGCCACGAGCTCGACGCCGTCGTCGGTGACCTTGGAGCAGCCGGAGAGGCTGAGCGCGGTGAGGTTGGGCAGGCTGTGCACCACGTTGACCACGCCGTGGTTGGTGATCTCCCAGCAGGAGAGCAGACGCAGCGTGTGCGTGCTGTGGCCCTGGCGTGCTGTGAAGTAGGCCAGCGCCGTGTCCGTCACGTGGTAGGCCTGCAAGCTCAGCTCGGCCAGGTTGGGCAGCAGCTGCGAGATGGCCGCAATGGCGTCGTCGGCCACGTTGATGCAGTCGCTCACGCTCAGCGAGGTGATCCGGGCGCTCAGGCTGGACCACAGCCCCGCCTCGGTGAAGTCGTTGCAGCCTGACAGCTCCAGGCGCACGACCCCCTGCATCTGCTCCAGCATCACCTGCGGGCAGCAGGGCGTGGTGAGGATGGGGGGGGGGGGGGGGCCCCCCGGAAGGAGCCCAATGAGGGGCAGAAAGCAGCGTTCTCGAGTGTAGACGGGTGTAAAACAGGACAAGTGCACGTCACAGTGTGTTTCTCACATCACCACAACATTCTAAGAGAAGAGGCAGAGCACAGGGGGACCTGGGAGCTCAGGGCCTCTCCAGAGCAGGGGCTCCAGAGCACTTGGTGTTAAGGATTTGATGGTTAGAGTCCTGGCCCTGGGGAAGGGGCAGCTTGCACAGCTGCTCCTCTGGC